CTACTAACATGAGTTCTGCAGGCTTACCATCAGATGGGGGTATTCTTGGGTCTGTTCCGCATCCTGTTGTGTGTCAAATTTGTTTTTCTGCAGGTCACTCGGCTATCACTTGTTCCTCTCGTTTCACACAGCCCTCTGCTCCTGCCTTGTTGACTACTCCTGGGAAACTAATCCCGCTTTATGGTATCCTGGTTCGGGAGCTTCTGCTCACATGACTGCATCCGAAGGTAATTTAATTAATAAATCCCCCTACAATGGCTATAATTCTGTTAATGTTGCTAACGGTGCCCATCTTCCCATATGTCATGTTGGTGATGTTGCCTTACCTTCTTCTGGTCGTCCTCTCACATTAAAGTCTGTTTATCATGTGCCTCAATTAAAGTACAATTTAATTTCCATTCAAAGACTTTGTGCGGATAATAATTGTACTGTTGTTTTTTATAAAAATTCTTTTTTTATTAAGGACAAAGCCTCGGGGGCGATTCTACTATGAGCTACCAGTAGTGGACCACTTTATCCTATCACTTTGCCGTCTTCTCCATCATTAGTTTTAGCTTCCGTTTTAGCTTCTGGCCCTGTGTGGCACCGTAGACTAGGTCACTGTGGTGACAATATTTTACAATTCCTTAAACGAAAAAGATTTTTATGTAGTCATTCTCCTTTTACTCATGAGTGTGTTGCTTGTCGTTTAGGAAAATCACAACGATTACCATTTATGGATGCTAGTCATATTTCCTCTTTTCCTTTAGAAATTATTCATTCTGATGTGTGGCAATCTCCTATTTGTTCAAATTTGGGCTTCAAGTATTATGTATGCTTTATTGATGATTTTTCCCGTTATACTTGGATTTTTCCCATGCGCCACAAGAGTGAGGTTTTTTTTTTCACTTTAAAAATTTTAAGGCTTTAGTTGAAAATCTCTTTAATCAGAAAATTAAAATTTTTCAGAGTGATGGGGTGGTGAGTTTGTTAATAATAATATGCAGCAATTTTTCTCCGCTAATGGTATTTATTTTCAAAAATCTTGTCCTGATACTCTCCACAACAAAACGGGGTTGCTGAAAGGAAGCATCGTCATCTCCTTGAGCTCACTCGAACAATGCTGCTTGAAGCCTCTGTTCCAAGTCAGTTCTGGGTTGATGCAATTTTTACCGCTGCATATATTATTAATAGATTACCTTCCCCTAGCTTACAGGGTCTTTCTCCATACCAAAAACTTTTTCAACATGTTCCGGACTACTCTTTAATGCGCGTTTTTTGCAATGCCTGCTATCCAAATTTTTCGGCCACGTCGGCTAACAAACTGTCACCTCGTTCTGTTCAATGTGTTTTTCTTGGCTATGCATCTGGATATAAGGACTATCGTTGTTTTGATCCTAACACAGGTCGTGTCTATATCAGTCGCCATGTTAGGTTCCATGAGGATACTTACCCCTTTCAGTCACCAAAACGAACTCAGACTCCTCCACAAAACTCATCCACCCCTTTTCCCATGCATCTCACCGATATTCCCTCTCCACCGCCTGCATTGTCTTCATCCCGACGTGAACCACCCAACCAGCCATCCCCTGCATCTCCACTACATTCGAACCCTCTCCTGGCTGCCTCTCAGTCACCCAACCCGACACCTTGTAAAAATGATTATTTACTCTTTACATCCTCTTATTCCCCTCCAACCGAAACCCCTTCCCCCTCATCTACCTCGGGTGTGCTCACTACTGTAGTAAATAATCATCACATGCAAACCCGGGCTAAAGCCGATATTTTTAAACCAAAAACGATTTTTACTTTGAGTACAGTTGTTACTTCCGTAGATCCTACTTGTTTTACTGAGACAAATAAACATTTAAAATTGCGGGAGGCGATGGCTGATGAATTTAATGCGCTAATTAACAACAATACTTGGGAACTGGTGTCCTTTGACAATACTAAGAATATAGTTGGTTGTAAGTGGATCTATAAAACAAAATACCATTCTGATGGGTCCGTAGAACGTCATAAAGCTCGATTAGTAGCTCAAGGATTTAATCAACAGGCAGGTATTGACTTTTCTGAAACCTTTAGTCCTGTCATTAAACCTACTACAGTTCGTGCCGTCCTTACTATGGCTGTTCTTTTGGTTGGGTCATTAGACAACTTGATGTTAAAAATGCCTTCTTACATGGTCATCTAACCGAAGAGGTGTATATGCGTCAGCCTCGTGGTTTCACTCATCCTCAGTTTCCTAATCATATATGTCGCTTGCGTAAGGCCATTTATGGACTCAAACAAGCACCACGGGCTTGGTTTCATAGATTTAGTAGCTTTCTCTTACAACATATATTTGTCTGCAGTAAGTCTGATAATTCCTTATTCATTTATCGCCAGAATAATACTATTATTTATTTATTACTATATGTAGATGATATTATTATTACTGGCAATTCTGCATCTACCATTACCGAGTTTATTTATATTATTTCTAATCATTTTGCTATGAAGGATCTGGATAGTCTTCATTATTTCTTGGGCATAGAGGCTACTCGCCTCTCTAAAGGTCTATTTTTTTCTCAAAACGAGTATGTTTCTGATCTTCTAGCCCGATTTCATCTCCATACAGTTAAACCTGTTCGCACACCGTTAGCTTCCCGTACCACTTTGTCTCTATCTGATGGTGAGTTACTTTCGGACTCTACTGAGTATCGCAGCATGGTTGGTGCGTTACAATATTTAACTTTGACACGGCCAGTTATTACTTATGCAGTACACTTAGTGTCTCAATTCATGCATGCCCCTCGTACTACTCATTTGTTTGCAGTCAAGAGAATTTTCAGGTATTTACAGGGTACACGAGATCATGGATTATGGCTTCAGCAGACTAACCGGCCCACTTGTGTTCTTGCTTATTCTGATGCTGATTGGGCCGGTTGTCCAGATAGCTCTCGGCCAACCACAGGTTTTGCGGTATTTTTGGGCCCAAATTTGGTTTCTTGGAAGTCTAAAAAGCAGCCTACGGTGTCCAAGTCATCTACAGAGGCAGAGTACCGTGCCATTGCTTACACCGTCCAGGATACACTTCACATTCGTTCGATTCTGTTTGAACTCGGGTACCCCATCACGGAAGCCGTACATCTGTTATGTGATAAGGTTTCTGCATCCTATCTGACTGCAAAACCTATTCAGCATGCCCGAAGTAAACACATCCAGATAGACTATCATTTTGTTCGTGAACGTGTGGCTCATGGAGATCTGATTGTTAAACATGTTCCTACTCATTTACAGTTGGCAAATATTTTTACTAAGAGTCTCCCTACTCAGCGTTTTCATTTTTTGAAGGACAACCTGCGCGTTGTTTCTCCCGCACAGCTTGAGGGGGTGTAATAGAATTATTATTAGATCAGTATTGTACTTTACATAGAACTCTCATTTTAATATAAATATATCTGCCAGGGCTCCTTAGAGAGCATCCTGTTCCATTATTCTCACAACCCTCACTCACATATCCTCTCAACAATCTCACACCCATTCCCGCCACGTTTTGGAGCTCCCCTTTGTCAACTTTGAGTGATAATTTCGTGGGGTTTCCCCACTCATGTGAGAGGTCATCCCTTTATGTCCCGGAGTGTACACTTGGCTCCAAAAGTTGTATTTTCCGGACTGTTTTAATTAAATATTATTTTATCGGATCAAATAAAATATATATCATTCTCCAAAAATTATGAGCCTCTATAATGAATATATATTCTTCAACTTTGATTAGTGCCCCTGAATTTTATTACGGGCTGTTATTTGTCAAATTACTGATACTGGTACATGAGCCTCGTTTTGATCAACCGACCAACTCTATGTCGTTTTTATGGCCCACATGAATATACAACATCATATAAATATCATCTAGACCAAGATGGATATAATATGTGGTCCCGGAAATATCGGATGGTCCTCGCTCCCGGTATGGGTCCCAAGTGCATTTTACTATTCACTCAAAAAGTAATAACAAAAATTTACAACCTCATAAATTCACTATTCATTCTTCAAGGTTCAATACATCATCTGGTAAAAAGTAAATATAATTGAGGATGGTGTTACTGTGTCACTTTTAACTTTTACTCCCTCCGTTCCTTTGGACTTTGTCAATTTTCCTGTTTTTGTTCTACCAAAAAACTTTGCCACTTTCTCACTAAAGTAATTAATTTGTGATTCTGCTCGTTTCTCTCTTCTCTACACAAACTTCAACCACACAATTTTTACTATTCTTATTTCTCACCTAATTCAAAGAGTGCAAAGTTCATTGGGACGGAGGTAGTAATTTCTATATTTTTTATTTCTTGCATTTTTTACGCTTAGTAAATATTTAATTAATATTTGAGGGAAAATATATTACAATTACTTATATTGGGGGGGTCCCTACTAAGATCCACCCATGCTTTCAAATATTGAGAAAAATGTGATTAATAAAGTCATATATTTGGAAAAACATGATGTCACAATAAAAAATGTATGTCACTTCCATTTTTCATGTCACTAAGAATTGTTACTGTCATATTTCCATTTTACTAACGGATATCACCGCTGCCGCAAAACATGTCACCGTGACCGTCGGAAAATTTTCCGACGCCTTTTTTTGGGCAAAAAAGTGACCTCCACGGTTGGGCAAGGACCACCTTTACACACTAATCTTAGTCAACAGTTACAATATCAATTTCAACCAAATCTACCCGCCAACACTGTGACCTGCCACCCCGCCAATGCCGCCAACACCCCCGAGCCCTCAACCATGACGGCCTCCGGCAATCACTGCCTCTCCGATGACCCACCACTGGCCTTGACCTACCACTAGCCCTACGCACTAGTGTCCCACGGCCCCCCTCCCACGGCCCCCTGACCGCCCCCAGTCCTTCTCCAGGCTCCTCTTCGGCCAGTTCGCCCAAACGCCTACCACATGGCTGGCTATAGTACTCCCTCCGTCCCGAAAAGGTTGACCATAGATGATTTTCACGTGAATTAATAAAGTAAAAACTGTGTTGTTGAAATTTGTGCAAAGGCAAGAGAATTAATTTTAGCCACATATTCCTTATTTTAAATGGAAATGACAAATCTTTTTGGGACATCCAAAAAAAAAATTGACCAACATTTTCGGGACATCTAAATGTAGTAGTTTGTACACGGTAAGTCCATTAATATTATATAGGTATATTAAATTTAATACTACGTAATTAAAATCAATTCTTGCCTACTCAATAAATTACACTTCCTAAACTGGTGGATCATGAAATCTTCAAGGCTTGTGTTTCTTCTTCAATCTTCAAGGCTTCAGGTCTTCAGCTCAGACCCAAGCAGAGGACGAGAGAAGGCAGCTTCAAGACTTTTGTCTTCAATTGAGGAAAGCAGGAAGCGCGAGACATTTCGACTTTACCCTACCATACCAGCACCGCACATCCCCAGCAGTAGCAAAGCCAAATCGAAGTCATCGTCCACGGAGGATGGCGAATCCGGCACTGGCGGCCCCAAATCGGAGTTGTCGCCAATTGAGGAAGATGAATCTGGAACCGACTGCCTCAGATCGGAGTTGTTGTCCATCGGAGGCACGACTAGGGAAGACAACGGAGAAGCTAGGCGATGTTGCTGTCATGGACGAAGCTGAGGGCAGAGACGCAAGATGCTACCATCGGTGAAGTTCTATTTGTAAAGGAAATTTTAAAATGTTAAATTAAGTGATACACCATATTAGAACAGTATTGGATTGCATTTTTAGTGCCTAATAAAAATTCTCTCTAACAGGAAGTGAAATTTTCCACCTCTTCAGCCCGAGTTTTCTACTCCGTTTCGGGAGCTAGGGTAATTTCAAATGCAGTCCCTCAACAGTCCACGTATAAATTCATTTTAAACAAATTGATTAAGTTTACAAAGTTACCCTTAGTGATATTATATACGAAGAATTGATTTCTTTTCTATTTCTAAAGCATTGAATATACTACTCGTAGTATATTTCACGAACTGCAAGATATAACGGAGCTTACATCTCCAAAGTGGCGGCGGATGTTACAGCGGCGGAGGCGGAAGTTATGACGGTGCACATGACAAAAGCTAGAAAGGTTTTAATCAACTTATGGGTCATTAACGGAGGCGGAAGTTATGACGGTGGACATGACCGAAGCTAGAAAGGTTTTAATCAACTTATCGGTCTCAACTCTCAAGAACCGACCCTACCCGACTAGTTCATGTATGTTTTACCAACCGCAAGTTCGTTAATAGCCAACCGAAGAAATTGGATAGACCCAAAAAAATATAACAAACCCGATCCAACCTGTCCAACGTGCATCTTATGGGGAGGTTTTCGTGATAGACTCGCGGCCCTCGCCCGAATATTCTCCGCTGGTTCGGGAGGGAGAGCACCCCTTCGTCTGTCTCTTTGAACAGGGAGTCACATCACCGGCCGTATGGGTCGACAAAGGAAAGTTTGAATACTTCGTACATGGCTGTGGCTGCATTGATACGGAGTATTTATTTGGAAGGGTTGAAATATTGAATGCATGGTTCTGAAGTTGGGCGTAATACAAGGATATAATTAATAGGCATAATTTTAATTAGTGGTAATTACCCGTTTGATCTACCTTTGACAACTCTATTTCATTTATAGTCAAGACATTATTCTTTTCATCATTAAACTTTTCACTTTTCACTTTTATGTTTTCTATTTCAAAAGTAGCTTCTTACAGTTACGGAGCACATAAACCTACTACCATAAACCATTCCAGCTTAATAATTTCCATTACCCTCCAAAGTTCCACCACCGAACACAACACTTTACCCATATTTTCCGCAGAAGGATCCGATCGATAAGAGATACAACTCAAAGACGAAATCTCTGGCATCATCCTCACTCAAACGTAGAGACTCGTTAAATTCATACATGACAAGGTTGGAGTATTTGCTACCGTGATGGCTCTGGAGGATGTAATTGCTGCTCCGCAACTGCCATTGCTGCCCCAGGAGCTGAAATTAGGAGGTCCGGCGCTATTGATTCTTCTCACGTCGGTTTGGTGATCAATGGCGTGCCTAGCGATTCGAGACTATCGACGATTGAAGCTGTAAGGTCATTCGCGAACCATTATCTGAAGTCAAATTGTATCAATGTTTATTCAAGTCGATTTCTTAATTATTCCTAAGGTATGAAGATCTCCTATGACGCTACTCATCAAACTACCAGATTTGAAGTCTTATATAAAAATTCTCCACTCACATTGGTTTTGGATAAGATTAGTGCAAAACATAATTGATGTAATTCAAGAGAGTGTAGATATCAAATTTGTATTTATGGAAATTGAGATAGATTATATTCAAATATTTGATGCTCAAATGCTTTATGGAAAGTACTTGCGCACAAATTTTACCAGTTAGAGTTGCATAGAGAATTCTGGTTAGAGGGCAACTATATTCTTCCATGTATTTGTTCATGAGTTAGTTATAACTGCTTAAATGCTTTATGCCCTTATGAAATACAAAAATATGTATATTATTTGGGTTTCAATTTCTTGTTTATTGTTGCTTCCTTATGTTTTCCATTTTAGCTGCTTGATGTGTTAACTTTATCAAATCAGTTTCTGTTTATAGCATTTCACTCTTCTCAGTCTATAGAGTATAGAGAATGCGTGCCCACTTTTTTTATCATTCTTGTTGATGATTCTGAGATTTTTATTTACATGAAGTTGAAGATATCTTTGATCTTTTCAGGTTTACCTGGCGTGTTTTGGGCATTACAGAAACAGTTCATTACATTTGCTATGTATAGGTGCTCTGCATAAGGTATTTAGGTAAATAAATGCGACAAAGATTCGTTAGTTGCACTTGTGTATAAACTTGTTTGAGCTTAGAATAACAACTTCTTGTAGCATGCGATGTCATATCTAATTACTGCATGTATTTTTTGCATAGGAGCTATGAATATAATCTCTAAAAATCCTTTTGATATGCATATGTAACAAGGTTAGTTATACAAGTGTATTGGTTCTTTGTAATAATTTATTCGGATACTGTGCCACACTAATTGCATTCCCATGGTAGACACATTATAGAAAAGAAGTGCATGAAGATGCAAGGCTCAGAAGATTGACACGAAAAGTGAAGACAAATGAGACAACCCTTTTCAATTGTTTGTAAAAACACAACATAAAAGGACAAAGAAGCAAGAAGAACCAAGACAATAGATGTTATAGATAAATGTAATAAATTGTAATAAGAGATTGAATTACATATGTTATGATATTTTTATACTGTATGTTTTTTTGTTGATCTTTGTTGCATTGCATGTGTTGCTTTTTGTTGCATCATGTTGCTTTTTGTTGCATTGCACGTGTTGCTTTTTGTTGCATCATGTTGCTTTTTGTTGCATCATGTTGTTTTTTGTTGCATCATATTGTTTTTTGTTGTACCGTGTTGCTTATTAATTTTTATTATTTTTATCATTTTTTGTCAAAATAGAATTATATTTATATTCATTACTTATTTGGAATAAATGTAATAAATTGTAATAAGAGATTGAATTACATATGTTGTGATATTTTTATACTGTATGTTTTTTTGTTGCTCTTTGTTGCATTGCATGTGTTGCTTTTTGTTGCATCATGTTGCTTTTTGTTGCATCATTTTGTTTTTTGTTGCATTGCACGTGTTGCTTTTTGTTGCATCGTGTTGCTTTTTCTCGCATCATGTTGTTTTTTGTTGCATCATATTGTTTTTTGTTGTACCATGTTGCTTATTAATTTTTATTATTTTTATTGTTTTTTGTCAAAATAGAATTATATTTATATTCATTACTTATTTGGAATAAAAAAATCATGCGTGTGTGTAAACACCTAGAGTGATAATTTTGGATTTATGACTAATAATAAAAAAGAAACATTAAAAAATCAAAGTTATCAACACAAAGAAACACAAAGAAACAATATTCAACAAACTAAAAGTAACAATTAAATGATAATTATCTTAAGTAAAATGTAGGTATTTTTCATTACGTAGTATAAGTTTTTCAATTTATAATTTTTCATTTTTAATATTTACTTTTTTTTGTTTACTGTTTTTTATTCTAAGAATCTTGTTTAAATTTTTAATTTGATTTTTTAAAATATCATATACTTATTTTCTTAGAACGTTTTCAGATCACAAAATTCATGTTCTTTAATATTTCTTCAGTTTTTACAAATTTTCAGTATTTTGTTTATCGTAATTCTCACATTTTTAATTTAGAAAATGTAAATTTATTATTTTCCGGAATTACCTTATATCTTAAAATCTTATGATTTTTCTGGCAATTTATATACGGAGTATTTTTTGCTGGCTTGCTTTATTTTACTATTTTCTTCATTGTTAAATTTACTTTATTTATTTATTTTAAATTTCTAGAGATTTATATTTATATTTTATTTTTACACTTTTTTTGTCTTTTAAAAAGTGCTTATTATTTTTATATGTTTCAAGATTCCTGAAAATATTTATTATGTATATAATTTACTTATTTGTGTTTTTTTTATATTTTCAGTTTCATTATCTTTTTGTGCATTTTTTACTTTGTAAATCTTTTTTTCTAGTTTAATGTTTTCAAAATTTGAACAATGGAGATAGTATCATTACTCTTTAATTGACGTGGCAAGGGTAGCATTGCTGACTAGTCTTTCATCTTATGAATCTGCTCTTCGTTTCTAAAGAGCAACGGTTCTGGTAAGGGGAGTTTAATAGGTAAAGTCTATTCGTGAAAAGAAAAGTTTAGTATTTCTATTTTTGAAAACAAAATTGAAAAGTGAAAAAAGTGATGTTATTTATACTTTTTAGTCTATTTTTGAAAAAATCCCTTTTAATTAAGGGCTGTGAAATGTGAATATTAAGTTTGTGAGTGCATTTAAAATTACCCTATTTCGTATCTTCCTTTCTCAAGGCCGGCCCACAGGCCACAACTAGGCGTGGCAATATCACCTGTATCGCGGATACCCGGTCAATTCGAACCGAAAATATGGACGAAAACCCGAAGAAATATGGATGAAAAATGGATGAAGGGTGGACTGAAAGATGGGTTGGATCAAGTATGGATGAACACTCATCCAACCATCACCCGCTTCGTCCATCCGCATCCGCTGACCCGCATCCGAGAGAGAGAGAGAGAGAGAGAGAGAGAGAGAGAGAGAGAGAGAGAGTCATTCTCCTGTCCAGCGGGTTTTGGTCCGAACACCGCCGTTCAGGGCGGTTTCCGGTAGAATTTTTCGATGAGGATGATGGCTTCAGAGATTTTCGTGTGAAAATGGATCGTAAGGATGCGTTGGATTATCTCAACCGGGAGGGTGGAGGAAGATGGAGCGCTGAAATCAGGGATTTGTTGGCTTTGTCCGAACAGAGAGGAGTTGCCTATTTTGATATTTTGAGGGAAGCCAACTGGGCTGCGCATTTTTTAGCAAATGTTTTAACGAATTGGCCCATTGTTTACTCTAGAACTGCTGATTTACCACCCCAAGTCCGTAATGCTTATTTGATGGATCTCTTTGGGCTCCTGTCCCTTCGAGTGGTAATTTAATTTTTTTATGTGGTTCTATGTTTTTGCAATTGGTGTTTTATTTTCCTTTTCAGGATTTGTATGTTTCTCCGGGAGAGTTATTGACCTACTCCCCCTCTCTCTTTGTATTTTTAACTTTATTTAATAAAACACGACAAATCTTCCCCGGCAATATATAGAGTGAAGATATATATATATATATATATATATATATATATATATATATATATATATATATATCTTCACTCTTCATATTTAGAAAATAAATAATTTAGACATGAAAAATACATGTTTAGTATATATCATTTTAACTTTTTTTACACATTTCCTACATTCATTATGACAAAGTTAGCTAATACGACATATTTGTATTTGTTATGTTTTGCACTCTACCTCTATGAAAAAAAATTGGCAATAACAATAGTATATTGCATTTATATGTTTTACATGATTCATTTCAATAAAATTGTGAATATTACAACATTTGTACATCTGACTCATTTAGTTTTCTTTGAATATTTTATGTGATATGTAGTATTATAAATAATAATCAACTATAATTTGTTTGTGAAAAGTGAATCTTTTTGTAGGTGATCGAAAAGATGTTAGAAGTTTTAATGTCATCAATGTTGGTAAGATAAATTAGGTATTAATTTATAATATTTTTATTATTTCCTTTTCTATCTTTTGTTTAAATAATAAATACAAGAAGATGAGATGAACTACTATTTTCATTTTCTAATTCTAAAATATAGAATTTGATCAAATAAAATAATAAACATAAAAAACAAATCAAATCGAACAAAATTGAATCTAATAATTTTCACTTTGGTAAACCGAACTTCAAACCGTAACGAACCGAAACCGAACCAAAAGCAAACCGAAACTCAAATGGTTTTAGTTTGGTACAAATTCTTTCAAACCGAATAAACCGAAACCGAAGAAAACCGAATCGTAAACCGAATTGCCCACCCTTAATCCAAAGTATTAATCATCTCAAAATAATCCCAAATGTTGAAAAATCTTCTCAAAATACTCCACTTACTCCTAAATAATACTCACTCCGTTCTTTTTTAGTTGCAACGGTCAACATTTCATATTTGTCAACACACGTCTTTGACCATAATTATATCTTAATTCTATTAGTAAAAAAATATTAAAAATCAGATTTTGAAATTTTGTAATGAGATGAATTGAACAATATTTTTTTAAAAAAAACATAAAATAATAGCGTAAAATGTAGTTAAAGTAAAACATGTGAATAGTGTAAAATTCAACATGTTACGATTAAAACGGAACGGATGATAGTATAAGTTATTTACCGATAATGATAAGTCACCGTATTATTTTGAGAAGTTTTTTTAATATTTGAGATTATTTTGAGATAATTGATACTTTGAATCATTTGAAACAAATCATTAATAATTGAGATTATTTTTGTTCATTTTTCCTAGATAAAGCCCCTGAACATTAAAATTAAAGGTCCAAAATAGTAATAGTAGTATTACGCAAACCCAATAGCCCATAGTAGTAGATAAGACTAGAAAACTTGTTCGGGCTCTGCAAGCGACGATCAGTCTCCAGTCTCACAGGCACCACATCGACAACTGCCTCTGCAATCGACAAAGACAACGAGGGACGGATTAGTCCAGGACGATTTCCGAACGGATCCAGCCCGCCACCGCGCCAAGCCTGCACGCCGCCACGCCTCCAGTCCGCTCACTCAGCTGAACCGCTCGGCGCTCGCACTCCGCCCATCGCTGGCTTAAGTGTTGAACCAGGTAAGATTTTCTGACTTTTCTTTTCAATTATCAATTATTAAATTCTTAACCCTATAATTATTCTGACTTTTCTCTTAATTTCTTATGTATTGTTTATCTTCTTGATTACTATGTGATTGAATTGCCAATTTTAGTTATTTATTAAAATAAATAAAATTCGATTTAGTTATTGGTATCAGTGAAAATTATGCACATATTTCACCTCTCTAGAAGCAGCCACAGCCACCAATGCTAATTGCAACCGATTTGCTAAGCAATGAACATAGTAGGCATAAGGACACTCATTCATTTAAACAATGCTTTCAACTCATTACGTTCTCCCCGCATATTGCTAGCAGTCTAGCACCATCATACCCTTGACCACGAATGTTCTGAATATCAAGGCAATATCTACAAATAACAACACAAATTTCTTCTTTGAGAGTCAATGCTGCGGTATCTCTAACATGCACAACATAAAAGAAATGCTCTCTAATGAACCCCTTTTCATCAACAAATCTCAAAATAATAGCCATTTGCTCTCTCTTAGATTTGTCACATGTCTCATGAACAAGAATACAAAACATAGATTCACCAATATAATGTCGAATCCTATGGCGCACTTTATTAGCAAGAATGTGTAAGATCTCCTTTTGAATTTTGAGAGAAGAATGCATAGCATTTTTTGGAGCAATATCCAACACAACACTAGCTGCTTGTTCATTACATGATGCTAAAAGTCAAATCATTTCAAGAAAATTACCTCGATTTCTAGAACTTGAGGTTTCATCATAATCTCATAGAAAAAATCATTGCGAAGTCAACCACTGAAAATCATCAATAGAGGTCAACCCGTAAGCGGTTACCTTCCTTCATCTTTAGAGTTTGTGCAGCGATAACTTTGTCAATATGGCGAGATTGGTTCAATATAAATTAGCATGTTTGCAATTTTAGATAATTGGATACATCAAAAGTCTAAACCTTTATTTAATTAAGGTTATACTCCCTCCGATCCTAAATAAACTCCACACTTTCCTTTTTGGGTAGGTCCAAAATAAACTTCACACTTCTTCTCCCTTCCTTATTTGGCAAATTATCTACATCAAAACAGTGCAAAACAGTGCCAAATAGTGTCAAACAGTGTCACAACAGTGTACTCTACAGTAAAGTCAAATTTATTTCCTTAATTTGTGTGAAGTCAAAGTGTGAAGTTTTATTTAGGACCGGAGGGAGTATTTAATAGTTTAGTTTATTTATTTTGTATGCCTTTTGATTTTTATTTTGCAGTTCCAAGTGCTGCTCAATAGTTTTGAGCAGTTATTGTTTGGTAAGTTTGCTATGCACCATTAGACCATTACATTTCAACATACAAGAGTACCAGTGTATCACATTGTCATTATTCTAGGTCCTAGACATGTAACTGGCTAACTGCTCAAGATATCGCTTTATGCAGTTACTCTCTTATATCAGTGGCATCCAGTACTATTGTAGTATTGATAAGTATGTAGTCTTACAACTAGTTTTTTTATGTTTTCATTAATAATTTTTAGTTATGAGCATTCATTCTATATTACTCCCTCCATCCCCATTTACTTAGCCAATGTTGACTGGCACAAGGAATAAGTAATGGAAATATATGTAGTTCACTGGACAAATTTGCCCTTCAACTTAAATGATGGAAAGAGGAGAACCCAAATAAAGTACTCGTACTTTGCCAAACCCACTTGCTACTATTGCGGGCTGATAATTGCTCTTCTTACACATGAAAGTACACTGAGTTGAGAGAAAATATTAAGGGGATCTCCAACAAACAAAAACTAACCATACGAACAAATTGAACCAAGAGCACTAAGAGGCTTATAATTGAAATACGAACAAATTAATTTTTAAAAAAATCAACCATCTGAACAAATTAACATCAGGTTTTGAGAAGACCAAGAAATGTTACGTTCTGGATTCAACTTGATTCCAACTTGATTTGCCTCATTGATTCTGAAACCTCTGGACGTCCTCCTATTTCATCGCCAGCAACACATCTGTCCTCTTCTTCAGCCATATCAATGCGGATACCTTCATCCTCCTTGGCTCCTTGTAGCTCTCTCATCATCGTCATCTCATCTTCCATAGGTGGAGTCTCAAAAGGAAGACAGAGTCTCAAGGAAGACAGAGGAGCATGTCCTCAAAATCCATGGCGGTAGAGTTTCTCACAGAGGAAAGAGATGAAAAGGAATAGAGAGATTGTGTAAGAGAAAGAGAAGGGATAGGGAGTTTGTACGAATTGTTGAGAATGACGGAGAGTATTTGAGAAGGTTAAATGTGTCATTCCAATTTTATTTACTACCCAAAATAGAAAGTGGCTAAGTACTTTGGGACGGCCAAATAAGGAAAGATGGCTAAATAAATAGGGACAGAGGGAGTATAATTCTACATATTATAACAATATTATATTGGAGTTGCGTTGCTTTACTATTTTTTTAAGAACTCTTGTAGGCAATTAATTGATCACAAATAACAGGTAAAAAGGAAAATAAATTGGACGTGCTTAATAGGACTTCAAAGACTCTTAAACAAAAGGACGTAACATAGCTCATGCCTTTCTTGAAAGAGAAACCTGTGGCCATGCTATTCAATTTTCTGCCCCAATTTATTTGCCAGGATTTGTAGTAAGTTTGATTGTGGGTTATTATATGCAGAGAGACATTTCTAGTTAATGGCTCTAGTCTTTGATGACTGATTTAAGCTTCATTTAGATTTTATTGTCTTGGTGTGTTTATTCGGTTGAACTGAATAATTGGAGTTGGAATAGAGAGAAATCAGAATGCTGTTAAATTAAGCAATGATGGAGCTGTCGTTTTGTTCTAAATTTAAACTTTAAATACTATCTTTACCTCTTTCTTTACAAGACACTAGCTTACCTCTGAGGAACAGGAAGAATAAGAAAGAGTATAGTTATTCAAATACCCCAAATTTAGATAAGTGTGGCCCGAATACCCCAAAGTTGAATGTTAGATATAATTATGATGAACACAAGTTTTTATCTTTCAGATATATTAGTTCATATTATTAAGTGCACAATTTAAATACTTCGAAGATTTAAGAGAACACATTTAGCATTCTAAGCTTTCGATCATTTGTGAAGTACATAACTTGAGTACAGGATGTTAACTTCACGTACAATGCAAAGCTAATGGTATTTATTTTACAAATGCGAAATTAGGATATTCAGCTCACAGTCTAACACCACTCATATATAGGGATATTTGATTTATTATTATTTTTAAAAATAAATTAAATGTTAGCAAAACATAAAAATAGTTATAATAATTGAAATTTCCTTATAAATACTGAAGTTCGAAAAAATATACAAAAAAGTAAGATGTAAAAACTATAATAAATTATAAATGTATAAAGTGTATCTTCCAAATGGTATAAGTTTTGAAATTGTATACATATTATAATTATAATAAGTTTCTAAAAGTTCCTTCAACATATAATCTGCCAAATTGTATAAGTTTTTAACTTAAGTTCACATGGAGAATATTTTATTTGGTGTAACTGTGTAAATGTAATCAACATCTAATTTTCATACAATTTAAAAATTATAAAAATTCAAAATATTTTGAAAAATATAAAAAGCATACTAAAAATTCAAAAGATATAACGTAGAAATGCAAATAGATATGTAAATGTAAAAAATAGAAAATTCCAAATTTCACGCGTTGAATTTCTTAGTACAGAGCAGTAAAGTTGGAGATGTTTTTTTTGGTTCAATTGATTGAATCGTCTGAAAAGGGCTATTTTAGTTTTTACATATATTTATTACAAATTGTATTCAATTGTGATCTGAAATAGTTGCATTGTTTTTACTTCTATGTGCTGTTCGTTTTTAGTAAAATAGTCATCAGTATCCTGTGTGAATGTTAGTGCTACTAGTCCCCATCGGCTAGTTTATCCATTCCCACACTGTGGATTATTTTTTGCATCAAGGGCATCAAAATGAAGGGGAAATGACAATTTTTTTGTTTATTGGGGGGGGGGGGGGGGGGGATTTGGTTTTCATGCAGCTTTTTCTTCGAAATCAAAAGAATATTCTCCGTATTTGTTTAGTTTATCCAGCTTGAATGCCCTTGTTGTGGCTTACTTACAAATTGGTAACCTATATGGTATGCTTGGATCCCGAAAAATACCAGGGAAATGAAAACAAAATGCTATGAAGTTATTCTCCTATGCTTGGCATCACATTGGAAAAGACCAAGAAATATGAAATTTTAATTAACCTTGAAGAGTTAATGCATTTATATTTCATATTCCTTCTATCAACAACAACAATGTCCAAGCCTTATTCTAAAAGAGTTCGGGGTAAGCTAACATGAATCTACAATAATGTTTGAACAACATGAAATTTTATAATATACTACGTATAATTTTAAAAATATATAATGTTTGAACAACACGAAATTTTATAATATATAATTTTAAAAATATCTAACGTTTGAACAACATAAAATTTTACACGGAGTAATATATAATGTTTGAACAACATGAAATTTTATATTATACTCTGTATGATGTTTGAACAACATCTAAAGTTTTAAAAATATCTAAAATTTTGTATTTCTTTAATAAAATAAATAAATAAATAAATAAATAAATAAAATGGGTCTGAACAAATATCAAACAGAAATGTTTTGAGTTCTGAATCTATCTTTTATTTCCCCCCAAAAAATTGTTTCTTTAAATTGTCCTCTATTTTCAATCCTACTTTCTTCTCATTGTATTTTCCATGTTTGATGCTGATACTTAGCAAGTTATTGGTCTTGCCCGTGTTTTTCCACAGGACAAATGGCAGGAAAGGCGGTGAAATCTGTAGCAAAAGCAGTTTCGGAGTACCAATACCCATTGCAAGAGAAGATGATGAAGTACAAGAATGAACTGTCAAAGGGTGTGTGGGGTTATTGGGAACTTGGGGCCTGGAAACCGTTAGGCATAAGTGCTCGTAGGCGGGCCCGGCTCCGCAAAGAAGTTCTTCTTGCTGGGCAGGATTGGACGTATGATCCAGAAAGGAAGGAAATGAGGAAGAAGCAGAAAGGGCATAAATGTGACAGAATTGCAGCGGAGAAGCGGGCAAAGACAGCTGAACTAATGCAGCAAATGCCAGCGATGTTGGCTGATTATAGGAAGAGGCGATGGGAGAGGAAGATTAAAGCTGATGAGGATGCCGCTAGGAAAGCCGTGCAAGAGTAAGCTCAGACCATTTCAGGACATAGATGAACGGATGATTTATAAACCTAAATAATGTGTTTGCCAACCCTACCATGTTTGCATTGTTTTATGGTCACACTTACGGTTAGATGCTTGGTGAAGGCCTGTTTTGGAAACTCTTGATTTACTAACAGCACTAGATCACTTGTCCAAGTAAAAGTTACTATCAATGTAAGCCCTCAAAATTGAAGAGTACCATGGGGATATTAAATGGTTGTTTGTGTTTGGCTGTATGCTTCTATTTTGAGAATAGTTTATTTTAGAAATTATATGATGAGTGATTATTTTAGAAAGGTGATTTAGGCCATCTCGAACGATCACCAAAACCTCCACCAAAATAGGGAAATTGCCATTTTTTGCAAAAGTGACCCAAAGATGTGATGCGCCATATTTTTGCAGAGATGGGATGCGTCATATTTTTTCTTTATTAGCATTTTATCAATGATGTAGGAATTATTATAATATTATTGTAATATTTAATTTTATATGCTTTTAGCTTGTATTTGTGAAATATTGATTATTGTATTTTAATGAGTGAAATGAGTAAAACATGCGTGAAATATTGATTATAGTAGTATTTTAGCTTGTATTTGTGAAATGCCAAGATACATATTTAATGAGGGGATAATGTATAAATATATGGTAATTAGATAATTAAATATAATAATGGTAAAAAGTTAGTAAAAAGAATAAAAAAGATTATTCCTTTGTAGTGATAAAAATGATGTAAATTGTTGGACATGACTTTATAAAAGAAAAAATTCCACTAATAATACTCCTAAAAAAGTTGTTGACAAAAATGTCATTTAGTACTACGTAACTATTGGTGAGTTGGTGATTATATTTGTATTCAAAGATTACATCATAATAACTACATATAACTCATTACTATTTAAACTTTGAACATAATTATATTACGGAGTAATTAATAGTTTTGAAGTCATATTTTTGTCCTTAATAATATTTAAGGAAAACCCCCTTTATAAAAAGTAAATGTTAGTGTCTTTTTTTAGAATGATTTCTTTTAATAAATATTATATGAAGAACGATTAATATTATATGAAGAACGATTTACTATTAACTTGTACTTAAAGGTGATTTCAAAAAAGTAAAAGTCAGAGTGTTGGGTAAAAGGTGGGCCCAATAAAAGATATTTGTTGTCATAGAAAAGCTTCAAAATGCTTAATTTAAGGAGAAATATTTGTTTGAAAATACCACCATTAGCTCTTAGAAGTTTTTTTTTGAAAACAAGACGGCTTAAATTGATATCAAAGCATTCACCAAGGGAACAAGAAGATAAAAGGACCACATCCAACCACCGACTCTCGAACCAGACTTAGAACCAATCACCCAGAATAAAGCAATATGGCTCGTTAATCATGTAATGGGTCTAAATGAGTCTATCGTGGTTAGAGTAAACCTCTTGACGGATAGTATATCCGGGGGTACCGCTGAGGGGTACGTAGAGAGAAGTCAGAACAAGTAAGAGAGAGAGAGAGTATTTATTCAATGAAGAAGTTATCTGGGGTCCTTTACAATGAAGAATTGGCTAGCTATTTATAGCTGCCATAAATGCTAGGAGCAATAAATGAGGGTACACGTGTCAAGCAATCAACGGTGGAGGGTCGACTCAACCAGGGTGGCGCCGACACATCATGTGGCACCGCATTCAATGTGGTGGTTGGAGTTGATGCTGCATTCAATGCGGTGATTCAGAGCATGTGGAGAGGAGATCCTGTCGAGGAGACTGCCCTCGGCTACATGCACCCGGGGGCTGCATGTGCCGAAGGCTATGTATGAGCCGAAGGCTGCCTAGGCTGAAGGCCGTACGTACCCAGGGGCCATTTGGGCCCTGGTGGCGTGCTGGGGACGTACGTAGCCGGGGGCCGTCATGTGTTGGAGGCCGTACGTAGCCGGAGGCCGTACGTAACCCGGAGGCTTTCATGTGTTGAAGGACGTACGTATCCTGGAGGCCTTCATATGCCTAAGGCCGTACATCCTCGGGGACCGTCATGTGCTAAGGGCCGTATGTAGCTGCATACCTCCATGTGTTAAAGGTTGTACGTAGCTGGATACCGCCATGAGCTAGAGCCCGTACGTAGCTGGATACCGCCATGTGCTAAAGGCCGTACGTACCCAGGGGCCATTTGGGCCTTGCTGGATTGATGGAGACGTACGTACCCCAGAGGACTTCATGTGCTGAAGGACGTACGTCCCCTGGGGCCTTCATGTGACGAAGGACGTACGTCCCCAGTGATGTTTCTGGACCAGGTGCAACTGTTTCTGGACGTACGTCCCCAATGATATTTTGGACGTACGTACCTTGTTGCAGTATAGGCTGTCCGGAAACTTGTTTGCTGTGTTTGGGCCACCTGGGCCTGTTGGGCCTGATTGTAGTAGTGGAAGTATGTGGGCTGGGGGTTCCTGGGCCATATTCTCCATCAGGAGTCCCCCACTCCTTTTGCCGAGAGATTCTCGAGAGAAATAGGAGTAAGTGTTGTGAAGTCGCCGGTGGCTACCTTGATGTAGCTGTGAAGTAGTGAAGACTTTGCGTTTGTGTGTTTTGCCGAGGAGAGTCCACCAGTTCCCCACATTTTGGGACATAGGGTTTTTTGAGGGAGTCCGTGGACGTTTTTCCGATTCTTGGTGGATGTTGTCATGCTTTTGTTGATGTCCTCAAAAAACGTTTGATAGTTTTGATTTCCCGAGGGGGTTCTCCAGTCCCCCGCTCTTTGAGGCACATGTAATGAGGTGAAAAGAAGTAGAGTAATGCATGTCTTCAACAGGGGGCCGAGGGTCGACACCTTTTTTTGGCAGAAAAAGATTCAGGAGTCTTCATTGTAGAGTAAAAAACATGAAGGGATGCTAAAACTTGATCGTATTATCCAAACAAACATATAGAAGTAAAACAACTCTAATCATCTCCTCCAAAAAGATCAAAACCAATATCGTCGTCAGATTCTTCTTCTCTTCATCAGATGGGGCTGCCCCACCACCACTGGAAGGTGCAGATGCAACAGCAGCCACATCACCACCACCACCACCGCTTGGTACGAAAGTTAATTTCTCCCTTCGAGCTGCAATCAACTCGGTGATATCTTTCCCCTCAACTTGAGACAAGAGTAACTCAAGTTGGCATAGAAGAGAGCACTTGAACACCAGTTCCTACTCCTTAGACGAGATTCTTCTTCCTTCTTTCTTCTTCTTAACGTGTCCTCTATCCATTCTCCTCTCCTTTCCACGCTCCTCTTCACATGGGCCCTTGTCGGTGAAGGTGACTCAGAGTGAGAAGTGGAAGTTTCAGGATCATTTGTAGATTTTTCAGAATAGTTCTCAGAAGACGGAGGAGAAGGATAAGCACAATTTTCAGATGATGGAGGAGAAGGAGATTGTGAGCCTGTGCTTGATTGAGAGGATGTTTGGAGCAAAGATATTTCATTCAAGAGCGGTTCTCTTTCCAGTTCAAAAGCTTGTTTTTCTTTATCAAAAGCTTCTTTCAATTCAGCAAACTTTCTCACAAGGGGTGGAATGTATGCTGGTTTGGCTACAGACTCTGAAGTTGAAGGTTCCTCTTGATCTTGCACAGTCTCTTTTGCAGGGTAAAAGGTTGGAATCTCTTCAGGAGGAGTCAACGTGGGTTCTTTTGTTTCATAGCTCTCGTTCAAGGCAGCATAATCAAAAGAAATTTCTGTTCCGAGATTAGCTCTCTTGGCATCTTCTTCATCATTCTTTTCTTTAACACTGAGGAAAGACATCAACTTAGTCAGTCCAAGACCCATATAATTGATGTCATACAGTTGAGCACAGTTCACATTCTTCAAATTACATGGGTTAGACAGATCGAGTCCTTCTTTAGAATTATAGAAACGGGTGTCTTTGGGTTGGTTCAAAAAGATTGTTTGACCAGTCTGCCCCTTTGTAGCAAGTAAGTCTTCAAGATCTTTGATCTTGCGGTAAAGGGCACTTCTTTTATTTTGAAGAAAATCGTTATCAGCTTTTGTTGTGCTTAGCTCTATTTGGGTCTGATTCAACTCATTTGTTAGATCAACTATTTTTAGAGTCAGCTTCTCTGTTTCCAAAGTTATTTTATTAACCTCTTCTTTGGAATTGTCCAATTGTATACTCAATGAGGTGGACTTATCCAGCTGCTTCAGTAGGACTTTGTGATTATTTGCTAATCTCTCTTCCAATTCCTTGATAATTTTGTCCTTATCTATTGAAGAATGAGTTTGACAAATACATGAACAAGGAGATATAGCGTCCATTGCTGTTGATTGTTGAATGTTGACCGTAGACGTGAGGTTGATTGAAGTTTCTGCAATTTTCTAGACCTTGAAATGTGGTTTGGACCTTGAGAAAAAAATAGTCTTAACCTTGAGATTTTTTTAATTAATTAATTAATTAATTAATTAATTTTTAATCTCAAGGTTGACTCTTGGAAGCTTTGATTGTAAGGTTGACCTCTGGTGTTGAAGATTTGAGCTCAAAAGTTGAAATGGGCTCAAAAATAGCTCTTGAAGTTGGAGTTTTTTTAAAAAAAATGTACTTATCCAAGTGTGGGGAGAAAAGGAATCTTTTAAGCAATCCCACACCTAAACTCCTTGGGAACTTTTGAGCCTATATATAAGAATCACTCCTTCCTTAGTAGTAAAAGGTGAAGAAGAAGAGGGTAGCTCTCGCGCACATGGGATTTCGGGTTTTCAGTTCAAAATCGAAAAATCGCACCCCCTCCCTGCGCGGGCGACCTGCGGACACGAATGCTGCAGAATTCAGTGGGTCTCAAAAGACAATTTTGCCCCTCATTTTTTAAAACCGCGAAATCCCTTCCTTGTCCTTCGAGAACTCAAAAACTCGCAATATTTTTTTTAAGAAAACTCGAGATTACACAAACTGCTGCCATCATCCCCATTAGTTTTTGCTTCCGTTTTAGCTTCTGGCCCTGTGTGGCATCGTAGATTAAGTCACTGCGGTGATAGTATTTTACAGTTTCTTAAAAGAAAACAATTTCTATGTAGTCATACTCCCTTTACTCATGAGTGTGTCGCTTGTCGTTTAGGAAAATCACAATGTTTGCCTTTTATGGATGCTAGTCATAATTCTGTTTTTCCTCTGTAAAAGACAATTTTGCCCCTCGTTTTTTAAAACCGCGAAATCCTTTCCCTTTCCTTCGAGAACTCAAAAACTCGTAATGTTTTTTTTAAGAAAACTCGAGATTACACAAACTGCTGTCATCATCCCCATTAGTTTTTGCTTCCGTTTTAGCTTCTGG